AGCCGCATTAATTCAAACTAATGAAACCCCTCAACAAGAGGAAAGCAGAGCATTTACCATAAATAGCATGAGACTTCATTCCTTCAGGCATTTTTTTAATATTTCTTTCCACTCCACTATGCCTGGAGCATAGTTTAAAGAGCTGATTAGGTATATAGATTTAAGAACAACTCCAAATATTAAGAAATGTTACTGAGCACATTTGGTAGTGACTCTTCCAAAGTTTATTGCACAGATTTTGCAATGTGGAGGAATTCTAAATATTGTTATACCCCGTTCCTTAATATTTTGTTCCTTTGGTAAAACATTTTATTTGGAAAGGCTTTGTCTAAAGGTTAAACAATCCCCATGCAACCTATGAATGAAACAGAAAAGCATGCTTAGATGTCTGGTCCCACCTGCCAAAACTTCCCAGGCTGTGTGGACACTGGCAGCTCCCAGAGTACGTTTGCCTCCAAGTCCTGTCCTACCATGTGGACAAGGCAGACAGGGATCCAACCATCAGACCCTCCAGAGATGCAAGAGAGAGTTTTCAGCTGTTTGGAATGAATACTGACTATAGACATTCCTCATATTTCAAAAAATAGAAGGCAAAGCACATGGAAGCATCCTATGGATCAATCTGAGGCCATAAGCTGCCAAGGTGACCCACACTGGCTCTGCCATGTGCCACAAGAAGAAATAAAACTTGAACATTGTCCAAGTACATTTCCTGTAGTTTCTGCCTGAGTCTTGGAGAGATTGTCTCTTGGGAAGAAAGATTCATCAATAAGTATTCATCCATAATTAAGCAAATAGCCTATTGGACAAATTTAATAGCAAATAGCTAATGAATGATTTTTATACCATAAGAAGACAAAAAGAGAAACAGGAAAGCATGAAATCATATTTTGGCTTTCTGTGCAAGAACCACAGAATAAATCATATGCTGTTGATACACTGCTTTCAGATTCTCACCCAATAGCTGTAATGATCAAATCTACAGCAACTCTGTGTGAAAACAGAGGAACGGGGCTGATGGAGAAAGTTCAGTTCTTCAAAGCTAAGATAGCTGCAAACAGGTAACATCTTTACCTTTAAATTAACAGTTTTTGCTAATTGGGCTGTCACTTTTCCAGCTGCAAATCACTAAGCACTTGCCTCCTAAGCTCAGGGAAAAAGCCTCCAGAGACCGTGAGTCAGTGAATGAAAACTGTTTTGGGTCCCATGGCAAAGAAAGTACTTTGCTCTCAAAAATAGATACATTTCTTGTGGGAAAAAACAGCCCAGCTCCTTCCTCTCCCATAGATAATAATGCAAAATGTCAGACACCTCCCAGGCTCCGTTCCCAGGAGATCAGGAGCATTGCAGTGATTACTTTGGTGAGTTTTTTCCTTAAAGGTTAATTCATATCTAATCAAAAATCATGACCCAACAGTTCACTGCCTATGAGAGCACGAGGTGTGGAACATAAGGCTGCCACTAGTGTTGAACTGCTACAGCTGCAAGAAGCTACAACAGGATTTGGGCACTTGGAAAACACAAAGCTGGGGTGGGAAGGCAAGGCTGGAAACAGGTAAAGATTGGATGCAGGGGAATGGGCAGGGCCTGTGTCCACTGCACAACAGCGAGAGGCTCCAAAGCAAGGGAAAGCACTTCCATGAGGGGAAACCCACCTGCCTGCCTGTGTTCACAGCAGAAAGCCCATGGGATTCATTTACTGTGTTGACAGTATGTCCTACAGGTTGGGGGCTCTACAGTGACAGTGAACTGGTTGGCTGGATTTGGGCTGAAACAGTAGAGCAACGTGCAGTGAAACCCCTTTAACCCAAAGATCGTGTAAAAGGATTAAAAAGTATGCCATGTATATATTTTCAATGCAAAGGCTTTCAAGCAGTGGGTTGCTGACTGTAGCAAAAGAGCCCTTGTGGCCCTTACACGGTAACAGCTGTGACAGTGCCACCAAGCCACATCTGTGCTGCTGGTCCTGTTCCCTGCTGCAGTGCAGGGCAGTGCAGGATAGGCTGAGCCCTGCTGGAAAACTGCATTCAGAGGGGCTGACACCATCTCAGGGCATTGCTGAAACACCACAGCACTGCAACATCAGGAATCCCTGCTCATCCTCACCCTTCCAGTCTCCTCCACACTGCACCTTACACCTGCATTAACTTGTGCTGACTTTGCAGACAACAATCTCTAGAGCAGGGACAGAAGCATGGACAGACGTGAGGACACTCCCCAGAAGTGATTCTGGTCCATTATTCTCATTTCACTGGATAAATCCTACACCAAATACCCCCAAAAAACCAAAAAAAAAATAAATCCCAGACAGGCTGTTAAACTGAACCCCAGGCTGTGCAGTACCACCACAGGCTTGGCAAAGCTCTTGCAGTCCCAGGGGAGTTAGGAAAAGGGGGAGGAAACATCCCAAGAGATGACTTTGCTTACTCACATCATTGGTGCAGACACACTTGTTTACATTTGATTGGCCTCATCTAAACTTTGCTGGAGGTTGACCATAATATTTACAAGCTAAAAGAACAATTATGTAGCTGAGAGCAGCTAAATGGAACAAAACAAAACCAGAGACACAGAAATCATGTCATTTGCTAAAGTCAAAAAAACAAACTGAGCCATCAGACCACACATCTGCCTCATGCTATATAAATTTACACCATGGTACAATTTGTGCTGCTTTACTGCAATATGGATGTTCTTTGAGTTTATAAACACTTATGGTGCTTATGTGCTCCATGTACTGATTTGTACCATAAAAATTTATATGGAAAGATATTTCCTACGCCTCATCTGTTTGTTTACAGAGTCCACCTTTAAAAGACCAATATTCTTCCCTCTGGGGCCTGTTTACAGTCTGCACCTGTGATGGTTTCTTCAGTTTGAACCTCATGGGCTGTATTTCTTACATAACTGTTTTCCCTCTTTCAGACACCATTAATCATCCCTCTGCCAAGATCTTCTTCCCACACCAGGCTTTACTGTACATTCCTTGCATTTCCATACCATGATGTCAGTCCAGCATGGAACAAAGATAAGAATGGCTCAAGATTTTCCTTCAAATGATCCCTTTTCTACAAAGCTATATATAAAATAAAACTTGCCATGGAATTTGGAAAGCACCAGGCTTGGGGATTTGTGGCTCTCTGTGGCTCTCTCATATTCCATACCCTTATTTCTTGAAAACTAAGAGAACATGTGCAAAATTATTTTAGAAAAATGAGTGCAGAAGTACAGCGACCAAAGCAAGCACAACAGAACTTTCTAATCAATGGGAAAGCACCTAGGAAAGTATAAAAATTAAGCTGCAAATGTTTTGAGAATAGTTTGTCAACTATGCTTGGAAAATTATGACTTTTTTTTCCACACTTTTCAATGTTTGGGAAAGTGAGATTGTTGCATATATTTAACACCTTTTCGCTACTGTAAATATTTTTTATGTTTTAGAATAGCATGAAGAAAAGAGTGCTGAAATGCTATTTCCATTCATTTGCATGTTTTAGAGATAGGATGGACTCCACATTTTTAATTATGACTTTCATTTTATGAAAGAAAGAAAACTAATAATCTGGCAAATTCTTGCCCTATTCCTGGGCAAACATTTACCCTACTATGGTTTTGTTTGAGTCAAGTACTCAGAGTAGGGAACTTCCAACTAAGCAAAGATCTCTGCCTTATTTTGCTGTAACACTAACACTGTAAAGAGTAAAGCCTCCACATAACATCAGAGCAAAGTGTCAGAGGAGCAGTGTTGTAACATGCCTGGCTGTCAAACAGCAGCCTATAAAAATACCCAGGCAGCTCTGTTCTTCTCTTGGAGTAAGGAAGAGAGCTGTTCAGGCAGAACAATATTTGTTTTATTGACAGATTTTACTGTTATCTGTTACCCACCAGTAGGCTCCGTTTGCAGTTTTCATCATAGAGTAATTGCTTATTAGAGACATTAGCGAGTTGTTTATTTGAAAACTAATGTGCTAATAAGGAACGATCATATTAGCAAGGTGTGCTCTTTACAACTTTATTTGTTTATCCTCAGGGACCGAATTTCTGAAATCCCAAACCTTTTGTTACATACTGAAAGATTTGAAAGTAAAATGTCTGAAAATTTTTTTGTCCAATAATAATTAGTGGTTTTATTGCTGTCATAAATACCAGGAGCTGCCTCTGACAGAAAGATGCTCATAGGATTGAAGGCTATTCTGTACACAACCATTTGCTTGCTAAGCAGCCTGGAAAAATTATGTTGCTGCTGTATTTGCATATTTTCTTATTATAAATGTTACCGTGGCTATAACATACCAACTTTAGCACTTTATTAAGCCCAAAGGAAAGGAAGAAACTAATTGTAGCATAGCTTCCAAGGCTCTGGGAAAGCACCTGTTTCCCTTTTCCTTTGAGCCTTAGGGGGGTTTCTAACCTTGGGCTCACCAATAAACTCCCTTTATGACAACCTAGATGGGATCAGTTATATTTACACATCCCAAGATTTCTAACAAACCAAGAAGTGCTTACAGCACATTTTCACTCTTGCAAGAAAATGCTTTCACCATTTGGCACAGCTGAAAGTTTTTGTTATGCTGTTGCTGTTCATTATTTTGCTGTGCTGGGGGTTATTTGTGCTGTACACAGTGTCACTTTCAGGCAAAAATTAAGAAAACAGTCTTGCAATGAGTAGTGCCCACAAGCAGAGTGGAGTCTCAGTGATTCCAACCTGACTGCATACCAAAGCAACATCACATTATTATTTATATTCCAGTAGCACAGAGACCCAAATTTAGGATCACAGCCCAACATGACTAGATGCAATGTAAACATGCAGGTAAAGAACCTCCTGACCCAAGAAGCCCATATGTAAAATTATGACCGAAAAAAACAACCCCAAAAACCAGAAAAAAAGAAAGCAAGCAAAAAACCAAGAAAGAACAGCAAGCAAACCACAGAGCAGGGGGGAGAAAAAAAGGAAAGAATAACTTGCCTGGGGACTGACCAAACACAACTCAGCTCACCTCTTGCCTGCTGGATCACCTCGGCACTAGCTGAGAGTAGGATGCAGTTTTGGATTAAGTAATCGGACAAGTCTGTGTAAAAATGGAAACAGAATAAGCTGGATTTTGTTATGCAGATATATAGATATTAAGCACTCTAAGTATCACAGTGCATTTCCTTTCTCCCTGCTTCTATGTACATACGGGCCTGCATGTGTGCTCATGAATGACTTGTGATAAAGTTAATTTAATCTTTTTGCAGTGTAAGTGAAACACTGAAAAAGAAGGCAACAATACAGGGAATCAGACATGTTGTATCAAAATCACACGAGTCTGTGGGCTGGAGTCCAAAGCCAGCAATCCTGGCATATTTTGGAAACTTTTAGATTTGAAATTGAGTGAGCACACCCAGATAACTACCTGAACCGTCACTTCACTGACTTCAGATGAGGAAAGAGGGGCAGAAGTAGATGAATTCTCACAGCAAAACTAAAACTCTTCTCACAGTAGTCTTCATAATGTAGAGGCAAACTGTAACTGCAAAGGAAAGAGAAATACATAAAAGGCACAATGCTTTGTTCTGAAGCCTCAGCCACTCTTCAGGAAGGAGACCTATCACTTTACATAATACTTCACAAATCAATGCTTGCTTCAAAACACGGGAGATCTTGCAGTCTGCAAGATCTCCAGTGCTGCCTTTGTGCCAGAAAAGTCTCTCTGAGTAAGCACTGCTTTACTTCACAGCATGTGCAGAGTTCCTAGGGCTGAAAGCTCATCTAAATATCTGTGCACTGAGTGCCCTTCCAGCCAAACCCCTGCTCCGCCTGGTACTCAGGCCCCCTCAGCTATGCTGGAGGATCCCAGTCTGTGCCAAAGGACTACCCTGCATCTGGAGTGTCAGGACAAAAGCCAGTTTTAGACAGCTGAGAGCATACAAGAACATGTGATGTAGTCCCATATTTTAAGAGATCATTTCAGCAACCCCTTAAAACAGGTCTGTGCTCATTAAGGCTCATCCTTTAAGTCTTCAGTGTAAATCGTGTGCCAGTGCACACAGTTCCTGCATGTACTTCAGCAGTATGCCTGGCTCACAACACATGATCCAGCAGAACCAGGAGCAGGACAGTCCCTTCTGCTTATCCTCATCTGCCCTGGATTCTGCAGGCTGCTCCGTTTCACCCTGCCAACACACAAAGGTGGCAGCCTGTGGGCGACAGCTTTCCAAACTCTTCCTCAGATACTCACATCAGCTGGCAGAAATTCTTCAGAGATGGCAAGAGGGCTAGATATTTACAAGTGGTGTTTATTTTTCTGGAACAGCCAGCTGCATGTTCTCTTCATCAAAAAGCTTTGTGATCTGAATACCCTTAAGCCAGTCTCCTGTGTCTCTTGTCCCTCTTGATCATCTTGAAAAAGAAAAAAAAAGAGCACACTTTATGGTGTGCTCTTACAAGCACAGTCTTGTTGGTTAGCACATAGTGGGAGTACAAGATGGCTTTGAGAAGAGCTCTCTGTTCCAGCAGGTTTATATTTGAAGGTGACAGTAATGAATGGGATCAGCCTGTTTCTCACTAGCAAGAGCTGAGCCTCAGGCTGAAGACAGGCAATGCAGTGAGGCAGATTTGTGTCCACTTGTGCTCCAACACTGCAGCTTTAAGGTCCTTCTCTCGGACTCACCCTCGCTCCAGCTCATTGTTAAAGGAACTTGCATGTGGGGTTTGTTTTGGTTTCTCATCTATAATCTACTGACTGTGGCTCTGGTCACAGTCTGACAGGAGGAGAGCTGTACTGTGTTCCTGCACAAGTAACTACATGTGAAAAAATATCAGTGACACCCCGCACTCCTGCCACCACCTCTTGCAACGGGGGTGTCGGGGCCCTGCTGCTTTTGCACAGGGTGTGACACAGTGGGAACACCTTCCCCTCTCACAGCAGAGCAGGGCACACCTTGCACTCACCCAGGAAAGCAGCTCCTCTGCTTCACCACCGTGCAGCTGTGGGATGGGCAGGACACGTCCCACCAGAGACACTGTCACTCTGACCAGGAAGCTCAAGGTGTGAAGGGAAATGGGAACACCATGTATCTGAACAACTGCAATGAGCCATCGTGGCTCAAAATTGCCATTTTAATTTTTGCCCAGTAAAGTTAAACTTGCACAGAATACATTGCTGAAAATAACTCCTTTTTCCTCCACTCTTTCCAATTTCTTTTTTTCTTCCAGTTTTGCTAGGTTTTATTTTTAGACCAGTTTTAGTGTCCAGCAAGAACACTAGAGGAGCAGAGAAGATTTTTCTAGCTGTTCAACTGGACTGAGCAGCCCCCAACCTCTCAACTCTGGTTTTGCATTACTGCCCTGCCTTCCTCTTGGGGATCGACTCAGCAGCAGTGTTTGGGTTATGTGCTGGATATAGACTTAGTTCTCCTCCATTCCTGCAACTCTATTAGATTTCCACTGGGTATTTGAAAACAACATTATACATGTATATATACACATACACACAGACGTATAAAACAGAGTTCTTAAAAGAACTTGCATCCTGGGAGGAAGCCAGCATTGATTTCTTTAAACTCAGAATGACTCCTGACTATGAAGGAGTTCATGTGTCTGAGAAGCAGCAGTGGAAACTTGTCTTTCAGTGTTTCTGCTTATCACTCATCAAGGTTCTGGAGTACATTCAGATCTCTGTAAGGGCCCTGAAGTAGCTTCACTGAAAAGCCTTGTTCCCATTAGCAAATCTGTGAAATTGTCTGAGAGACTGACATATGGGACTACAGAGAGAGGTATCACATTCATTGATCCTTGCTACCCAGCTTCCCAACTGCAGTGCTTAGCTCCCACAAAGCCTGGATATTTTATCCACTCTCTCACTTGTCACAATGCAGAATGAGTCTGTGAAGCATTAATATTTTCAAGCAAACACATGAGCTCCCAGGACTAAGGAGGAATCTGGCCCAGATGAGACATGAGAGTTTGGGTGACAGTCTGATCTACCCAAGTGGTGAGAAGCTCAGGTAGCACACACACTGCAAACCTGCAAACGTGCTGCTAATGTCCAAGGAAAAGAGGTTGTTGCCATAAATCACCTTGTCTGTAAAAATATTCTGAAATGACAGCATCATCCTCTATATTTGGGAGATAAACTATCCAGTTTCTTTAGCCTCTCTCAAACTTTATCACGGACACAAAGAAAAAGGAAAGATAACAAAAAGAAATCTATCTGACAAGCCACTTATTTTTATCTGCCTGGACCTCTGGGACACAGTTCATGCAATTTCTCTTCTGCACCAGTCCCCTTCTTGGAGACATCACACTTAAGCAGTAAAATATCTAATTTAAGTCAGTGTCAAAAAATTGGCAACTCCTACATTTCTGAAAGAGTTGAATACGATGTTGGGCTAAGCCACAAATTGGCATCCAGATCAAGTTGGGTTTTTTCAAGCTTAGAATTGCTCAAAGGCAGCCCCTGGAGATGGAGCACAGATACTTGACTTGGACTAATTAGCACTGAAAGAAATATATTCAAAATATACCTGAATGAGGTGGTTGACAAACTCCCAGGAAAGAAACATCCTTTGCTCTTTGCATTGAGAACAAAAGGGCAGGAACAGGCAACAAGGACATTTATATACAGTGGGTGATGGGACACAAAAGGAATTGGAAAGGTTGGATTTCCCTTTACTTGCTTCTGCCACTGCCTTTAACTGCTAAAGTTTCAGATGAGATGAATCCTTGTCCTGTTGTCCCAAACATCGGGGGCTCATGAGTAAGAACTCTGCATGTTGTGCTGGCAGCAGAGTGGTTTTCCATGCTGAAACCAAAAGCTTCCCAGGGCAACCTCTGGTCACTACTTCTGCTTCCACCTGCCAGAAAATTACCAGCCCCTGCAGAAACTTCTGCAAACAAACCCTCTTGAACAGCAACAGCCACAAGTGAGCGTATTATAAACGGGAAAGAAGCACTGAAAGGTTCTTTTCTAACCAGAAAAAGGCTGCTGTCAAGTGATTTAATTTCCCTGCTAAATTGCATAGTAAAAAAGAAATTGCATGTAAAGACCACGTGGCTGGGAACGAAAAGCCTCTTGTTGAAAGCTTTCGTTTGCCCTTTATCACACTGTTTTGCTTCATATTCTATAAATAGCTCGTGTGCACTGTTTTTCCTTTTGGCCTCATAACTATGAACTGGTTCCTCACTGGCTTTGCAGAGTCTGAAGAAAATCTCTGGAGAATGTTCTAAGCATATTTGATAGAAGCTCACCAGTGGATTAATTTCGAAACAGGGCTCAGTTGGCACATTTTAAAATATATAATAATTAGAGCTGTTTGTAATAGATTCATCTCCTTCTGCAGCAGAAATCAGGAATCAGAGTGGCTTGGTTTCTGCAATCTGATTTTAGTTACAGTTAGGCTGCAATTTATTTTTAGTAACAAACTGTTTCCCCGAGACAGATTCGGCTGCTCATTAGCATTGGGAGTGTTCTCTACAAAAAATATATTGTGAAATTTCCTTTTAGCTCTGATTAGATCCATCCATTAAAACACAGACTCCATTCTGCAAAGACAGAGAAGATGTGACTATCCATCTTGTCACTGACAGATGATAAAGACACTGAAAATAAATTGTCCCTTTTCCCTAAATTTTTTGCTTAGTATCACCACACATTTTCCTAGTAAAAAGGCAGAAAAATCTGTTAATCTGTATTATGAGATTAATGAAAAGAAGTATAATTGAAAAATTGTAAAATTTACTGTAAAAACAGTAAAATACCAGTTGTGTTGAATTTGTGATTTTATACCACTTAACTACTTCATCAAAACATCAGCTGGGGAAATTCTCTGCAGTAACTCCTCTAGATGGGTTAATAGGCAGGTTGGAATCCAAATCATTGCCTTCACCAACTGATCTTTCCAGAGGGAAGATCAGAGGGAGCTTAATCTGCTTTGCTTCCCATTTCACCACTGGTGTCAGCCCACGCTCCTGCAGTAGCAGCCTGGTTTTACATATTAATCAGTACTTTCCAAGCCATTTTGTCTGTGACACCCATTCAGGTAACCTCCAGGCACCCAGACTTCTAATGCTCCAATTTCCAGCATCAGAAATGCCAGTTCCAGTCAGGCCAAGGGCCCCTCCAGCCTCTCTGCAGCAGGAGGAGAGCTTGTAACCAGCCAAGCCCATGGTGTTTAATGGCTATGAGCGCCTGCTCTCCAGATGTGCTTAGCTGGGCTTGTGAGCTCTTAAGAGTTACCCACAGCAAGCAGATTTACTTTAGCTCACCCCTATGGGTGATGAAAAATACCTCCCCTAGAGCACACTGCACATCACATGGGGATTCTGACACAGACCAACCTCTTCGAGCCACGGTCCTGCAAAGCAGCTCCTCACTGCACCCCAGTCCTGGGGTAAAAGGTAAACTTGCTTCTGCAAAATATTTGTTTTACTGAAGATGAGCCCTAATGGGTGCTCAAAGGAGCTAATTCCAAAACTGCCAAGTGTCAGAGTTCAGATGTGCCATTTGGCAGATTTGGTGCTCTGTGGGTTTGAGGGTTTGTAATTCTTTAGCTACTTTAGCTACAATTAATGAGGTGTCATGTTAGAAACTTGGTTTATTTAAATCATTTTCAAGGTAGATAAGCTATTGGAGTGGATTCCAATCTATGTCTACCTAAAGCTTCAAGCACTACAATGTCCTGACAGTTTAAGTGTTACAATGAAGTTGTAAAATTTAAACAACATTGCTCTTAACTTCTTTCAATTCCCAAAGTATTGAATACATTTCCATACAATTTTCCAGAAAAATTAACTTTTTCCCTAAGAACACTGCTTGTTTTGTTTATGTCAACCAGTATTTTCGTACCTAACAACAAGAAATAAACCCCACTTGACTTTAAAAGCATGAATGCAATCTTCACTGTTAATTGTCATGGCATTACAAAAATACCACTGACATGGGTATGAAAATTGCTCAGAGCAATTGGTAGAGCCTTTTCACAAGCCATTGAATGCAACAACTCCTCCAATTCATACATATTTACACACAGAGCTTTCACATACATGGCTATGTTTGATTTTGGAAATTATGGCAACTGGAAAAACATTTCCTGATGTAAAGCCCTCATAGATTTCTCACTGAAATCACACTAGCTGATTCAAAAATTCTCAACCCCCTTCTTGTAACTAACTCTGACCTTTCGACCCTGAAAGGTTTCACAGCTAATTGCCCGAGCCAACGTGCTGGTTCGAGGGAGGGGTCTGAAAATTACGGATTTCAAAGAAAAACAGAGATCATTTTCTAGTGAACATTAGTGTACACGTAGGCAGTGGCAACCTTCTGCTTTGGATTTCCCTTATTTCGGTTGCCTTCATCTTCCCTGCAGTGTTATTTCAGCAGGAATTTGGGTGCTTAGCTTTCCGGTGATGGTATCTGTGCAGCACCACAAACGGCCCCGCATTCTTGGCATATTTGGTGGCCTGCATCAGCCCCCTTTGGAACAAAAGCTCTTGTTTTGGACACATCACTGCAGACTGTTGCCTGATCCAAACTGTCTGCTTCCTTCTGAACTTCTAAACAGAAATGACAGATCACTTTGTAGTTTTTAACAGATCTAGCCTCAGAAAACCTATCTGACATTGCCTAAATATGAGCTACATTTTGCATCCAGGTTTGGTTTTAATTTACAGCAATTCTCTGACAGCTTAATACCCCGAAGACAAAGAAAATTTAGACATAAACTCCAGCTACGGGAAGATTTTACTTGACATAAAATCCAAATATGAGCAATGCATGCAAGTCTAAGTGTTATTTGAAGGACCATTGCAAATACTAATTAGGAATCCACACTCAAAACAACTACCCGAAGTGGTTTCACTTGCATGACTGGATATTCAGTATGGCCCTACCTGTGCACAGCCTCAGCATCTCCTGCAAAGGAACAGCATCTCTCTCTTCCATACACAAGCTGCAGTGCTGGCTGCAATGGGGTAGAGGAAAAGTCAGCTTCCATGTATTTGTCAGAGGCAAACAGGGAACTGAAAGGTGAAAACCTTGAATGCAGTCCTGGCTACTTTCACTACATGCTAGGCAGACAGTTTTGGTATGAACAGAGAGTAGCAATTCTATTTTGAGCAGTAAAGGAACAAATTTAATCCTCAAGTATCAAGGCAAAGTGTTCCTCCTCAGGACATAAAAGATCTTTGAAGAAGAAATCAGATAGGGACATTGAAAGAACATCTGAAGTAGGAACAACCATCTCCATGTCCTTCCTGAGACATATTTCACTCACTGGCTCTTTAACATCATCACAGATTTCATATTCACCCAAGCACTCTTTTCCAGTGCATTGCTATCCCTGACTTGGACAGTTGTTGGGGTTTCCCCCCCCCCCTTTTTTTAATGCCTTCTTTGAATCTTTGCTGCTGTAATTTATTAATTCCTGTTCCTTCTACTGCAGGGATTTTACTCTCTGCAAACATTATACTTCTCTTCTTTGCAGCAGTCTTTTCTGTATTTGAAGACTTTTGTAATTTTCCCCCCTGTCTTTTATTCTCTACACAATCCAAATTGTTTCAGTCTGCCTTCTAGGTTTGTTTCCTAGTCATTTGATCATTCCCACTTTGGAACCTCTCCAATCAGTCCACATCATTCTCAAATCTACCAATCATCTTGGGATGTCCTCTTGGGACATTATTACCACATATGAAACCACGTTTTTCTAGCCAGGTTTTAAAATGACATCTATTAAGCTCAGGGTTGTGTCTTCGGTGCACGGTTAACTTGAGTTATTTGCACTTGAGTTAATACCTCCCCAGTCAGCTTCACATCAGAGTCCCAGGAACAGAGAAGTGAAAGGAATTGCAGGAAATCATCTCCTCCATATCCCACCTCTGAGGCACAATCACCTACCATATATCTACACACTTTTTTAAATACTCCAGCAGCAAAACCATCATGACCTCCCTGGGCAGCCTTCAGATGAGCCACTCTAAATCCCCAGTTACCTGTTCATCCCAGGATGTCTCAGGCAGTTGTGTGCCCACCTTACCACATAAAACCAGCCAATTTTCTTACAAGAATGTGATGTGGGACTGTGCTCTAGCTTTTCTTTGAAAAAAGATTCCACTAAATGTACTAGATGGGTAGCACCAGTGCATAGTGGCATCATGATAATTATTTATTGTATTTGTAAGGACAAGATTTTTAAAGTATCATCCAATGATTTACACTCATTCTTAATACTGAATGAGCACCAACTTTCTCTAAATTCTCCATGGCTTCCTCCCCCTCAGCTGCCCTTGCATTTTCCAACCCAGGTAATGCATTTGCCTTCTTGACATCATCAAGAGATTTCACATTTCTTACAAAGAATGGCAGGTAACTAAACATTTGCAAATTCTTCATATTGTAGGATATTCTATCAAGTCCTGCTGACTATAATCTTTCTTATCTATCAAGTACACCTGACCTGTTCCTTTTTTAGTCCTGTTTTTATTAAAATTAACTGGTTTAAGCATCTGGTCATAATTCACTTTTTCTGTGGTGGTTGAAGGGAGAAAGACATCAAATAGATGACCTATTATTTGCTTATTTCCACATCAAGTAATAAACTTCTACTTTCCTCCACCTTGGTTACTCAAGTATTTCCTTGCTATTCTTCCTTGTTTGGCAGTTACAATTTTAGTCTGAGCTTTCTGACTTTTCCTTACGTGTCCATAAATTCTGTCATACCAGTCCTCAGCAAGCAGAAACACACCTTTTCCATCTTTTCCTGCCCTGCTCAGTGTCAGAACCCTTGGTCATCTCTCACTCTGTCCTTGCTTTGGGATTGTTAGCTGAGAGCAGCTGTGCTGCAAACTAACCCTTGCACGGCACAGAGGGGTTGGATTACTGCATGGAATAACCATGTCAGCTCCAGCTGTGCCCTGTGGGACCAGACAAGCCAGTCAGTTCCAGTGACAACACCATCCTCATGGGAAAGGTTTCTGCACTCGGACAAGACCTGAGCAGGGGCAAACAGAAGTTATGACTCACAGGTCCTGCACGGTCAAGGTAAGCCCAGTGAGCGCTGTGAGAGACACAAGTGAATACCTTCCTTCAACTCTGTTACAATAAAACAAAAGCAGCCAGGCTGTACAACCAGGCTGCACAGCAGAAACAGAGGCCTCGCTGCCCACTCACATTTGAGCTCTACTGAGAATGAAAAGGGAAAGAAAGTTTGACTCTTTGAAGATTTGGTTGCTCCTTCTTTGCTTTTACACAAGATCCCGTGTCACACAGGGTGCACAGGAATGCTCTGAGCCCACAGGAAATCTTCAATCCATCTGTTAAATACAAAGGTTTCAGGCAAACCCAGATGAAACACAACAAGGTGTAATAATAATATGGACAGAAGGACCCTACTGATCTGCTTTACAAATGGAAAATACCGAGAAACTAATGTAAATAGGGGCAAGCTGCAAGAAATGTTCTGCAGCCTTAAATTAGCTATCTAAGAGCATAGCAGGCATTTTGCTGGTAGTTCTGCACTTCACTTAGCTCCTACAGTCATTCAATCCTAACAGCTTCAGTGGAAAGGAAAATGAAATCCTCCAATCCTTAGGGAAAAGTCACAGTTTATCTCTAGAAAGCATGAAGCTGCAAATCTGAAAAGATGCCAAAGTTGACAGTTAACTGCCACATACTACTGAAGTCTTTTTTTCCGCCTTCCTCTTAAACTCTTTCTTCCATTCCCAGGCCAGACTGGAGCTTGGAAGTCAGTGAATGAATTCCACAAGTACTACAGTTTGTACTTTCACCAACAGCTCAAAAGCGGAGGTATCAGATTTCACAGCCCTGTGAGGAGGCTGGCACAGCTTCAAAGCACTTCTGAAATATCTCTCACTTTATCCTGAGGAGACAATAGCCTCTCCCAGGGACGCTGCAACAGCCCTTCCCTCCGAAAGCTGATTTTGACACACACAGTCTCAGCTTCAGCAAAGTAACACCAACGTGTTGGAAATTTCAAGACCTTGTACCAAGGCAGAACTTACCTGTAAAGCCTGAACCAAATCTGAAAGCATTTGTGATCTCGACATTGCTAAAAAGACATCTTGGGCCCGTCATGACTCAAAAATGAGTTGGATTCAAATCCCATACTGGCTTCTACGTGCTAGTCCTGGTGGAAAGCAAGTGCTTTTGACAAGCTTTTTAAGTTACTAAAAATAGCTCTGTACTACATTATCAAACCCACATAATCTTTAATTTTTCTCTTGACTGCAGTTAAATTTTAACAAGACAAAAGGATCAATCCCAGAATTTATAAAGACAGGTCTCATCAAACCTTCCTATTCTGAATTATTTCAGATATAGCCATTTTTGAAAGACATAATTTTCTCCTTTCTCCTTTGTTATTAAGTCAACTTTCCTAGTTTCTTGCATAGATAAAACATGCAGAATTTTGTATATTTTTTGATAATCCATTTACAATCAAAGCCTTTCACTCCATCTCAAGAATGGTTGCAAACTTCACTTCCTATAAAGGCAAGGGCATGCCAGAGAAATGGATTTTTACTAGGAACAGCAAAACGAAATAAGAAAGAGGAATATAAAAAGAAATATAAATAGATATATAAAAGACAAATAGACATAAATATATCAAGATCAGCAAAACTGACTAAGCAAATACTGCACTGAGAATATCCTTCTAAGCTCCAGGTCAATGGAAAATTCTAATTTACAACTGTATCATGTGCAACAGAGCTGCCACAATTCCAAACATGACAACTGGGTGATATATATCATTTCCCATGTTCCTATATGTCCTAGTATTTCAGTTATTAAATAACAAACTGAGAAACAGTAACACAGAGACAAGTAACAATAAAGCCGGTGAAAGGATTAGTCAAAATTTGTCAAAGTGTGATGGAAACTATGGGAAGAACAAAACATGAGCTGCACTGGTGCTTAGAAACAAACTAAACTCAAACAGCAGAGAATTTGAACCAAGGACAAAATGAAACACTAGACACATTCATGAGGCAGGATGGCACATATTTGGATGATCCTTGACAGAAAAGCTTCCTAAGGGAAAGGGAAAGGCCAGCTGAAAGCATGACAGTCTAATGCTTTATCATCCCTTCTCCCTCTTCAGAACCTACTGGAACAAACTGTACAGGGAAGAAACAATCCCAGCATTGCTGTTCATCCACAGGTCTCCTTGCTAAAGAACAAAGAGAAACAACAGTTTATCAGGAAAAAGAACATACCCTGATTACTTAATCTCCTTTTATCCCGTTGCTCTGGTGCTCTGCACCTGCACTACTGCAGTGCAATCCAGTCCCTGGGTGACAAACTGTCCACACAGCTTGGCTGCTGCACTGTCCCTCTCACAGCACTGTCTCACCTGAGTGCTTCATGCACAAAAATGAAGGGAAAAGGCTTTTTAGCTGAATTTGCACTGGCTCCATCAGCTTGTGCTGTTTTTTCTCTATGGGGCTGGCAAGGTTTGGATGCTGAGGAATCTACTCTGCTCTGTCATTCCCACCCACCATCCACATAACTCTATTACAAACTTCAGGTAGATTATGAAAAGTGTTGAAACTGCCTCTCAGAGCCTCAGCCCTTAAGCCACTTAAAAGGAATGAGTTGTTCTTAGATGATGCTACTAAATTTGGGAATCTCCCACCAATACTGAATGCAGAGCTGATAAGTCAAAGATCTAGTTCATCTCTTGCCCCTTCCTTTCCAATAATCTTATCATGAAACCTTTATTTTTTTATAATTTCAAACGCTGCAATGATGCTTCAAGCTAAACTACTCAAACACTTTAAAATAAAGAATCAGCTGTACGTTCTGTGAGGCAGAACAGTCACAAAAGTCAAAGGCAAAATGGAAGAAGACTCTTCTGTGATATAGTTTGCTTTCTCTAACAAGTCCTCAAAAACAGCAATGGGGGTTAAAAAAAAAGAAAAAGGAATTATCCTGAGATAACATTTTAAAAGTAAAAAAAAAAATAAAGTAGAATTTGAAAACATAGCACATAATAAAGATCAGCCACAAGCCATAGTACTGGCTGCAGTTTAAACTTCTTTAAACTAAGTATGCT